ATTGAACATCATAGAACAGAACCAACTTGTTTAATTGAAACAGCTGTTAAGATTCATTAATTCCATTTCTCATAAGGTTAACATGGGAAACTCCAGAGCCACTGGGGCGGAGCCCTTTTAAGAATTTCGAAACGGGAAATAGTTTACGTCCGATTCGCATACCTACAGAATTTACACACCAAATTTCATAACGATCAGTGAAGTCGTTCCGGAGGAGTTTGCAGACAAACACTGTGACACGAGAATTTTATATATTAGATATATATAAATATATATATATATATATATATATATATATATATATATATATATATCTAAGGATCAACAAGGCCATCTATATAACTATAAACAAGGTAACAAGGTGTAAACATAACAGATAATTATTTTTTTGTAAAAAAATACAACCGACTTCAAAATGCTCTAATAAGAATGAAATAATTTCAATAAAGTAAACTTTTGTATTAGTCAAGCTCACGTATTTTAAATCGGTGCGGCTCTATGATGATTTTTTATACAAAATTTAAAGAGGATGTCCACATTGCAGGTGACTATCTATAACTAAAGGTGATTATAATCTTATAGTGATATTAACGAGTATCTTTAAAAAGATTATAATGTATTTACATATTTCTAACTTGGAAAAGTAGGTAACGTTTTAATTTTAAACTAGCTTCTTTTCCCTATCATAATATCAAAATAAATTATTTTCCTATTCATATAGAACATTTGTGAGTGTTTTTTTCACTATGCAGTCATTCTGAAGTAAACATAAAATACAAGAAGAAAATACTTCCTTTGACAAACAAAACATAAAAAAAACAGTTCAGTATGTTTTTTTATATATTTATGTTATCCAGCTACAATTTATTGATTTTCAAAATACACTCAAAATATTTTTTATTTTATTCATATTTGCAGTTAGAGCCGCGCAGACTTGAAATACGTGAGCTTGACTAATACAAAAGTTTACTTTATAAAAATTATTTCATTCTTATTAGAGCATTTTGAAGTCGGTTGTATTTTTTTTACAAAAAATAATTATTTCATGATTTTTAGTGACTGTATGATCTAATATATAAAATTCTCGTGTCACAGTGTTTGTCTGCAAACTCCTCCGGAACGACTTCACCGATCGTTATGAAATTTGGTGTGTAAATTCTGTAGGTATGCGAATCGGACGTAAACTATTTCCCGTTTCGAAATTCTTAAAAGGGCTCCGCCCCAGTGGCTCTGGAGTTTCCCATGTTAACCTTACGAGAAATGGAATTAATGAATCTTAACAGCTGTTTCAATTAAACAAGTTGGTTCTGTTCTATGATGTTCAATAGCATTAAAGTTACAAGGATTACCAACAGGGTGCAGCACTATTATTTCTTTTAAATTTATGACAACAGGTAATTTGCAACCAAAAGGTGAGTGAGCATAGCGAACGAACTTCAACCTGGAGGCGAGTTAGCGTAGCGAACGAGCTAACCTGAAGGCAAGTGAGCGCAGCGAACGAGCTCCAACCTAAAGGTGAGTGAGCGTAGCGAACGAGCTCCAACCCAAAGGTGAGTGAGCGTAGCGAGCGAACTTCAACCAGGACGTGATTGAGCGATGCGAACGAGATCATCTTGAAAATTAAACGTAACGGTACTTTCTTTCCATCGGTCTGTCTTAGGGGAAACCTATAACTTAGGCGATACGAAGTTCGCCGGGTCAGCTAGTTTGTTATATATTAATTACATGAAGTTTTTTGATAAGCAAAACAGTTTGAAACAATCAAAAGTGCCACAGAACAATCATTATTTTTAAACTGCTTGAGTCACCTGTTCAGTTTACATAATCAATGGGTATAAAAATTAACACTTTTGGATTTTCCTTTAAAAAAACAAAGAGTTGTCCATTACATTAGGCCTAATGAAAAAAGAATGTCTTTCCTAGAGACATTGAAATGCCAGACATCATTGTTTCCTGCAATTGGTGTACTTCTACATTATGAAACGAAATACAGTAAGGTCTGAAGCCTTTTGGAACAATAAGAAAGTTAGACTCAGCCACCAGCACTAAAAAATCTCTTAAAAGTAGAAAATTGGTTTTTATCACGTATATTACCTTTGAAAAATACGTATATGAAAGATTGGTTCAGCTAAAAGTGGTGTAAGGGGTAGGTGGTTTTTTTTGCTCAAGATGTAGTCGAAATTGCAAATCAGCTTCCCATTTCCGAAGCAGGCATAATATTATTGACAGTGAAGAATATTAATAAACATTCCACATCTTCAAATGCATGTTTAGTAATTAAAATATTTAACACTTTTAATACGATTGAAGATTATGCAATCTCACACCTCTTATGTTGTTTAAGGAATAATTGCATCTAATTTATGTTTAGACCTCTTTTACGAATGCTTTGGTTTTCACAATACACCTTAAATTGTCAATATCATACAGCTATTCACTATGTTTTTATAAGTCAGAACATTCATTACTCAAAATAGAATCATACACAAATCAGGTCAAACGTTGAAATACCTTTTTTATAGTCCCCAAACAAAATGCATTTTTTCAATGTAACTTATTTAGGCTCCATGGCAAGAAATAGTTTATTAATCAATATGAAGCAACTGTTTCATGAAGAAACTGTCTGTAGCTTCATTTAAATGGTTTTAACTAACAGCTGTAGGAATGTTATTATTTATTGCCTTCTCTGCAAAAAAGTAAACAAATAAATGTTGATTATTTGAGGTTTTCAGCATTTTTCACAAAACAAATATTTTTCTTAAACATAATGCTATATATGGTACCGAATAGAAACTCTCCTGGTTATTTTGGTGGTGGAACCACGCTGATCGGTAAAAGAATCACAGAGAAATTGGTGAACATACATAGAAAAAAAAAAACATCGCCACAGACAAATAGAGAACCTTCTCCTTTTTTTGGTAGTGGGGAAGTCGGTTAAAAAGACTAGTCAATGTCAATAATAATTTATATATTAAGCCTGAAACCCATAGATTAGAGACATTTCATTTATCTCCCCAATTTATAGGCCCAAAAGTTTACAATAAGTTACCGCTCCGCATAAAGAATATTAGAGATATTAGTACAGAGTTCAGATCACCCTGAAGACCTGGTTAAAAACCAAAAAATTTTTGTCTATCGAATGTTATTTAGATAGGAACGTTAAGTTGGATTAACCCTCTGAGTGTCCCTAGTTTTGGCCTTAATGTTTGCCTATTTTTTGCGCATTTGCAAGGTTTTTTTAAAACGGATCTGAGAAGCTTAAAAACAATGTTAATTATACTGTTCTATATACCATGTTGTTTGGAAAATCATGGGCTTCAATATTATACATAAAACATAAGGAACATTTGTTTCAAAAAAATTTTTAGGTAAAAAAAAATATTTTGGAAAATTAAAAAAAAAAAATAAGTTTGCGCTCAATGAAATTGTATAAATTATAGGCCTATAAATATTTGAAAATAGCCACTTTGTTCTAAATTTTATGAGGATTACAAATATATATTTCATAACCTGGAGGCGAGTTAGCGTAGCGAACGAGCTAACCAGAAGGCAAGTGAGCGCAGCGAACGAGCTCCAACCTAAAGGTGAGTGAGCGTAGGGAACAAACTTCAACCAGGACGTGATTGAGCCATGCGAACGAGCTTATCTTGAAAATGAACGAGCATTTGACATAAAACCACATTAGTACAGGACGACGTCTGTCGGGCCAGCTAGTAAATAAATAAAATAGATCCGATGGGGTGTCAGCTCTAGCTCGGATCCGGTGGATCCGGTAGTCCGATACCCAGATCCGACCATCACTAAAACAAACATAACACATGGCAAGCGGCAAATGGTAAACAGATAACGCTTCACAATAATTGAAATAAGAAATCAACATGTTGGCCAATCGGCCCACACGAAATGTGGTTAGTCAGCCAAAACAACAACGAAGGACATAGCAACACCATCACTTGGACATTTTTGGAACTACATCAATCAGTAATCATGATGCAACGCAGATGTCAAGTCTCGCTTGTGAGTCGCCATTCAGTCCACTTGGAGCGGCATCAAAACAGACTCGTGTGTTTCTGCAATGGGTTAAATGCTAGCTAGATTAAAGTGTTTTTGACATTTTTTTCATAAAATTTGCTATTTTTGGGTAATTTTAATTTAAAACCTGAAAATGGCAGCCATGAAGGAAAGAAAAAAGACTGTTCACCAAAAGAGAATTGACACTGTTTAAGGAAAAACTACAAACACAAAAATGGGATCAGATCCTGATGGAAGAGTACGTCAACCCTCCTCCAAAGAATCGGAATTTAAGTTTTATTCCAAGGAACTTTCATACAAAGGAGCGCTGTTCTTCAACCACTTGCCCGATCATCTAAGAAGCCAGCCACCCAAAAGTTTCAAAAACCAACTGAAGGAATGGCTCCAAGAAAGACCCTACTACTCAGAATCAGAATTCCTGAACACCTGACACAGCGCCGCCGCCGATGAGAGCTCTCTCTGGACATCAAAATGACAACTTTGTATATCACATTAGGTACATAACTATAAAAAATATAAAAAAATCTTGTGCGTTGTATAACTTTGACAATCTAAAATCTTTTGTTTTGACGTATGTACTAATCTCCTTACGAATATGTAAATTGCCTATTGTCTATTGTATATTTCGACATTTTTGATTGGTCCAGGTTAATTTTTTTGACATGGGTCTAATCTACCTTAACATACATACACGGTTTCATAATGTTGGTTTAAACACTTCAAAGATAAAAATCTTTATATATGATAAAAAAAATGGTGGATAGGCCTAACTTATCTGGTTGTATTTTTGGGGAAAATGTGATTCTTGATTTTCTATTTATTTAAACCCATATAACCATTTCCTGGTGTTGGGCTCTTTACTTAAATTCTGTAGGCTATATACCCTGATGTAAAATATTTCACCAAAATGTGAAGTGTGGCAAGGCTATTTAAACAAATAACGTCATCACATAAAACCATTAACTGACCTGAGGTAGAGCAGCAGTCCAGTATCCACAGTTTTACCCAGCTCAGACATCATCATTGTGTATAAAATAACTTGACCTCGGTGTTCAGCTGAGAATGAAGCCCTTCCTGTCTTTAACTCCAGAGGCATCACCTGCAGCGACATTATGATTGACACTTACAGAATACATAGCAATAACACTAAAACAGAACAATCAGTAATAATGCCATAATATTATGTATCATCCTGGCATTGTTACATTTAGTTACTTGCCACATCTAAATGTATTCAATACAATTTACTTTCAGACTAGATGATAAAAAATATTACTTTGTAATGTTTTTTTAGTCAGATTTTTGCACAACTGAAACAAATGCTTTAAAAAAGCAACCTTGAACATCTTGTCTAAAACAATACTTCCTCCATCAATAAATCCAAAAAGGAATAAATGGAGGAAAAGTGATATAAATCTTACATTGCATTTGATTCTAAAATAGTCTTTTATAACAAGGATAAATCTGGTAAAGTTTTAATATTTTCAATTAAATTACTTTTTCTTTGTAGTTTCTTGATGATGTCTTTACAGTGACGTCAATTTTCCCTTTCAAACCAAGACTGGGAGACCAGATGTTTTCTTCAATATCAGCTACATCTTGAATGGATCCATTCCATGAATCTCCTTCATTCCAGCTAGTTGAAACTTTACTGAAATAAAAAAACCAACAAATTAGACAAACACCTATAAAATTTATAAAACAAAAAATTGACTGACTCACTAACTCACAAGTATCTGAATCTACGAGGTCTAGATATGTAAAACTTGAAACACAAAGAAGTCCTAATGGAATAGTAACATTGAATTTTGAAAACTGGTGCGATTTTTTGCCCTATTTCTATATTCAACGCTATTGTCCCTTCTAGTTTATAGAGTCAAATGAATATAATTTTTATTTTTATTATAAGAGTCAATTGCGATGTGATTTGATTGACAAGACTTCTATAACCTTAAAAACATGTAAATACTTACTTGGCCAAAAATAGAAAGAAAAATACATTATCAATTTCAGTTAAAAAAAGGCACAAACTCCTCAAGCCCACAATTTATGCTTATTTATAATACACAAGTATCTAAAAAAATTAAGGATTTCCAAAACGGGGTTTCTAAAAAAAACTATACAATTTTCAGATTATTTTTAGCATTTGGAAAAAAGGAATTGCTATAGGTGCAACATTTTGCAGTCCAACTAGACTATCCCCCTGTTACATAGGGTACAGTAAAATTAAATTGGAATGTCCAATTAGGGTGTACAATTTATATGTCGTATACAAAATACATGCACTATTTGTAAAAAATTTATATACTGTAAAGTTATTTACGGTAAATGGAAATTGTGAAATAATACAACATAGTTTTATGATTTTTCAAAAGGGAGCTGTAGTAAAAGTAAATGGTCATTGATGAAATAAGTTTATGATGAATAAACTTATGATGAAATAAGTTGGTAAATTACACCATTCCAGTGTCAAACATTGATGCATCAATGGTAATGACACACTCTGGGGTATCAAGCATACATCAATGGTAGTGCAGACATACATCATATAACTCACAGACATACATATTGTCTTTTAACTCAGTCAATTTCAGTCCGATTTGGACTGGATTGATATCACTGTCAACAGCAGAGAACTGGCTTTCTTCTGGTGTCTGTTTCACAACCTTACTTTTGTTTGTCTGTTTCCAGAAGTTTTTTGTTACTATATATTTTTTATTGAAACCTGATTTTTATTTTTGTAGACTACATAAATATTATTTAGATGTACAAAATAATTAGTGATGACTTGTTGGTTTGATGTGTTTGCACTGCAGTAATATATTTGAAGGTTATGTGTAACGGCAGTAAAGTCATTGTAATAGGCCTAGTGAGTGATTTTGCGACTATTCTTCGATCATATTTATGACTTTTGGCCGTCCTAAAAATTAACTTGATACTTGAAGTCTTCATCTTTGACCAGCGTTGCTGGATTGATTGCGTCAATGGTTTGTTTGGCTAGACGAGGTCGCTAAAGTTGTCCTCGAAGAACTCTTTCAGTGAGTAATATGCTCTACCATTTTTTGTTTGTCGAAAGAGCCGAAGCCCCTCAACTGCAACCCGGTACCTATAATTAAACATACCCGGGCCCCATGGTGTAGGCCGGAGCATACGCACCAACCTTGGCACGCCATGGGCGGATGACTTGAGGTCATCAGGCTCACCGGCTGCCGAAGCAACCCTTCGGAAAGGGGGTTGCCCCTCAATCATAACCAGGGATACCGGCTACTTGGTTAAGCGTCACTCCACCTGGAACCAGCAGATACAAAACCTGAAGGCCCAAAATGAAATGCCCTGACGCATTTAGTGCAAGCAACACTCGGGACCTATCCAATCCCTGACAGGCCAAAGCCCGCCATCAAAGCCAGGAGGAAGGGGACCGCCAGCAAGCTGATGGGGGAACCCCAACTCCCCATTTCCACCACTACCCGATCGAGGCCATCCCATTGCTGGGAAACCAGGGATACCCAGGGCGATAGATCCCCAGATACCCCTAGCGGGCTTGATCCCAACACCCGATCTAATTCGTTTGCCCATCAAGCCCAACATCACTGCCAGGCCCTCAGGGTTTCCCAAAAGGAGGCGGGTCTAGAAGTGGGACCCACCCGGATGAACCTATCCACCAAAGGTGGCGACATCCTTAACTCAATTGAGGTTCCAGAGAAAACCCCCCACACTCTAGATAACCATACCTTCCGGGCTCAGAGACAGGGATTGGCTGATGGAGTGCGCCCAGCCGTTACCCTCACACTGCGAAAAGTTACGTTCCCCTAGAGTGTCCCCGTGAGCTTACGGGTACTTGCCCGATTTCACCTCCAGGAAAGGCTACTTCCAAAGTCGAGGATTTGCCCCACAGAATGCTGGTCGCACAGAGCAAGCAGGCCGAAGCCCAAAGAACCATAGTTACAGGTAGATGGGAGATTGATGGCGCACTTCCACCTCTCCGAGAGCTAAACACCCCGCCAACCTGGATGGAGGAGTGTCACTGGAGGCTCCCCCTAAGGGGCTGGCGCTTACCAGACGTCCATGACTATGGCCTACTTGAAATGCCGATTCCAACACCGGACAGTTACCTCCCCTTCGGGGGCTTACTTGCCCGTCTTTCACCTCCCAGGAAGAGGCTACTTCCAGAGCCGAGGATATGCCACACATAATGTTAGTCATACACATCAGGCAGAACTAAGCCCAAGAACCACAGCCACAGGCAGATGAGGAGAGGCGGCAAAAAGCGGCATCACTGAGAGCTGAACACCCCACCAACCTGGATGATGGAATGTCACTGGGGGCTTCAAAACAGGCATTAATTACAACCGAAAGGGGGTAGGCTATCACATCAGCAATATACTTGAGCACAATTATATTCATGCCATATACATCCGGACTATGTGAGTTCTTGAAGGATTTGATAACCTTCAATACATGAGTTGGGCTAACATGTCTCCATCTGGTGAACTGATTATTTGTATTAAAGGCCTCTCCAAAGTTCAGATTGTCATTACTTTCAACTAATGGTATAGAATCAACAATTCGATTCACTTCTCCCAGGATAAACCGGTTGAAGGAATTCGGACTCTCAGTGCACTTCATAATAGGGCTGGCCTTACTAGTCCTATTAACCAAATCCCAAGCTGCCTTACATTGGTTTGGAGCCTGTTGGATTTTCTGAATATTAGCCTGCCTTTTGGTAAGGTCAACTTGTTGCCTGTAAAATTTCTTGGCTCTTAGGTATGCAGAGTACAGTCCATCTCTTGTTACACCTACAGCAGACTTGTACCTATCATGCAGAGTCACAACAAACTTCCTTATGTCTCTCAGGTCGTTGGTATACCAAGTATTGTCTTGCTTTTTAAGTTTCTTATTTAGGCCTGCAGAATTTAGCTTTCGAGTTTTGGTCGGGAATATTAGATCAAAGTTGTACTTAAAAAAGTCAAAAAAGTTATCAAACATTAATTCAGCCGGTTTTTTGGAGAGGATGTTGTTCCAATCTACATTCCTTAATATCTGTTTGAATTCTTGCAGTTTTTCTTCACTAATAACTCTGTCAGCTGAATATAGTTTTGTTCCCATGAGACCTGGTGGAGGTTATTGTCTGGGATCACGTTGATATCTAGGGTTACAGGGGAATGATCAGCAATCACTGGATCTCCAACAGCAACGGAATATTCCCAGGAATTTAAAGTTGTAGCCATTGTATTAAGCAGTTTTGTCCTCTTGTATGGCTTAGATTGGTAATAAACATACCATAACTTCTTAGTAAATTGCTAAAATATTTAGCCTTATTGTTGTCCAAATTTAGGGGAATATTAAAGTCTCCTCCAAGTAAAATATGCTTGCCTAACTTACTTAATTTAGAGAGGCATTTGTCAAGTTGGTTAAAAAAAATCTCAACATTACCGCTGGGTGAGCGATAGACGGAAACAACAATTGTCGAGATTTCGCTTATTTTCACACCCGTGAGCTCAATATCCATCTCAACACAAAACTCATTTAACTCTACTGGCTTGGTATTATACTTGTCAGTAACATACACCCCCATTTTTATGAATAGTGCGTGTATAAACCGATTTTAAAGCTAGGTTACTAATACAGAAGAACCTCTTTAATCCGAACTAATTGGGACCGGGGGTAGTTCGGACTATTGAATAGTTCGGATTACAGAACATATTGTTGTTTTTACATAACAATAGCTAGAGAAAAGTGGAAATTGCTTTATAAAGTAAAATACAGTGTTTATTTAATACTGTAGTAAACATTGGGAATAAACAGTACTGTACATTACAGTTGAAATAATTACGGTGCGTATATCAATAAATACAGTATACAATAAAGAACTACTGTACTGTGTATAGAGTACAGCAATGAGGCGTTCGGATTAGTGGACGTTCGGATTACAGGGGTTCGGATTAAAGAGGTTCTACTGTATTATTATAAGCATGTACTTCATCATCTGTTAACCAATGCTCACTCAAACATAATATATCAGGTAGGTGGTTCTCTGTAAATAGTGTGATTAAATTAATTTTAGACCTTATACATTGTACATTCAGGTAAGAAACTTAAATTGCTATGTCTAGGTTGACATTTACCTTGAATGGGCGTGCTGCGGTTACCTTCAGTCTGTTCAATCCCTTCTGCAGGCCTCTGATCCACCTGAATAAAAAAGCTCAGCTGCTTGACTAATTTTATGGTACTCTGTCGCCACTCTCATGACAGAGTTTAATGTTGGTTTTTCTCTTGTAAGCCTTCACTATTTTGATTAGTATGTCTCTGTTGGTTAAAATAGGGCCTAGGTTGTTCAAATTTATTTTCATTGTTTTTTGTAGATCTTATTGCTTTAGGTGGTTTTTATTTACAAACTAGCACACCCTCGGGCCACAATTCCGAATTAAGTAACTTATCAAGATTTTCATAAGGGCAGCCTACCTTAAAGGATGATTATGTGTCATACCTTGCGTTGAGCTTTTCACAGCATACATTGGTGCTCTTGCACGTGTCTTGCACATATGTTTTTAGAGCTTCGGGTTTCACTGAGGGGTCCAGTATCGTAACAAACAACCAGGAATATCTGGTAGCTGGTTTGACGTCCTCCGTGAAAGTTGATTTCCCTAGGATTGCCGAGTAGCTAGATCTCACTTTATGTACCGCATGTACTTCACTCTGAGGCCTCGATCTATTTGAGAGATTCTAATACTTTCACTTCCTGTTGCTTCTTTGCCCAATTTATTCTTTTTTCGCCTTGATGTTTTTGTTTGCCATATATTTTCGTGTATGTCCGGGAATTCTTCATCTTTCAAGTAGGATCTTTCCCTTTCTTGATCACTACCTTCACCCTCCAAATTTCTAGGTCCTATCAAGACATTTTTTACTGATTCCCTGGGGTTTTCCTCATGTGAAGATTCTTCAGGCGGTAAGCCTACCACTGGTCTATCAGTTAGGCCCAACAAATCACTTTTTGGTACACCTGTCCTAAGTGTTTTTCCAGAAAGCTTATTTGAACTAGGGTTAGTGTTTATGTCCTCTTTCAATGTTTGAACGTCCAATGAGAGAGCCCTTAACTTATTTTTGACGTCCCTATCATTACTTTCAACTTTTTCTAGCCTATAGGTCATGTCCTGCATTAATGATGTACTATTTTGTACACTTGTCATCACAACATTCAGAATTGAGGGCCATTCCTCCTTACTTTTTGAAATTTTCATGGCAATCAAATCCTTAACTAGTGTGCCACAGGTATCACAGTACCAGGTCACCTTATCCGCTAACACATTCAAACATTCATATTCATTTTTTGATAGCTTGTCACAGCTCAGCTCAAACCATTCTTGACAATTACCTTCACAGAATACTGACTTCGTCCTCAGGTACATTTTATTTGCATTTACCACATTTTTCTCCTTCCTGATTTTCACCTGTGCTAGGCCTAGGCCCAGTTTTTTCCTTCGGTTTCATTCTCCAGCTTTAGAAGTCACTATTTTAATAGGCTGTAGGCCCACAAAGTTGTTAAAAACTGTATGTTAATCCAAATAATTTGTTGGCTAAATTATTTAGATCTGTAATATTTTACTAAAAATATTCAAAAGTGTTTTAAGTTAAAGTTATAATATCCTCTATAATAGCTGCTTTGCTCCTTAAAAGGTTATTAAGTTATTGCTAGATTCGTATTTCAAATTATCTAGGTTATGATAGGTTTCAAGGTTTCACTGTCTTGTCTTCCAAGGTTCTTCCAAGTATATTTCAAAGTATCTTTCAAAGCCAGCTCCTGATTTGTTGGTGATTGATTGTTCTTCTTCTTTATGTTTCTTCTTGGCCAATCACCGGTCTCGAGAGACACCTTATACTGTCGCCATTTTGGTGACCACTTTTCGTTATTAAAAATTTGCTATAAGACTTAATCCTTCACTACTTTAATTTTGCATAAAAATTGACTTTGAAAAGAGCCAGCTGTATGGACAGAGTGGAGAAGCCACAATCAGATAGACAATTAAGTTAACCATACTAAAGTTCATATTTTATTTTCCCTATAATATTTAGAAATAAATGGCTATTTCAGATGTTTCATTTAGTTACAATTACTTATAAAAATAGGGGCACAAACATTTTTTTCATATTTTTATTTTTATTTTTTATCATTCTACAGTAGATTCCCTCTTATCCGGACACCTTTTAACCGGACATCGGTTTAACCGGATTACAATCGGCAGAAATGACATCTCTTTAACCGGGCAATTTTTATCAGCACATTGGTTTAACCGGACTAGATCGGCAGGAAGTGGGCGGTACTGAAAGGACTGTTCTCTTGGTAAAGATTTGAGACCAGTGATCAGGTGTCTAAATACAATGCTCTCCCAAATTTATTTCAAATATCACAGTAAACGGTCCGTTTTAACGAGTTTTTGGGGACGTCGGTTTAACCGGAAAAACTGTTATCCAGATTGGCCTAGGTCCCGAGGAGTCCGGATAAGTAGGAGTCTACTGTATGTACTTTTTTATGATAAAAAAGTTCAAAAACCGAATTATTTGTGCTGAATCATAATTTGCATGTATTTAGCTGCACAAAAATATATAACAAGGTATCGTTACTTTACAAAGTAGATTTGTTACATTTTTTAATAAATTATTAACTGCAAAATGCCCAAAAATCGACTAACACCACACAAAAAATTACTGACACCAGGAGGGGTAATACTAGACTAAGTTACCTTTTTGGTGACATATATTTCTGAATGAAACCCTGGATCTTTGGCACAAACTCTCTAAGTGTCTCTACAGTCTTCTCCAGTGACATACTAGAAGAGTATAGATTGGAAATGAAATAAGGAGTCTTGGTGAACTCCTCTAACACTCGTTCTATGTCCTTCAGAGTTTTCACTTTCCTTTTTAATACCTAAAATATTTGAAAGTAGTACAGCGGGCATTAGAATAATATACTCATAACTACTGAACACTTTACACATACAGAAAATTAAAATATACTGTAAACATCATAAACTTTTAAATAAATTGTGTAACGTACAAAGCCATTGAAACCATAAACAGTTAAAAATCAAAATTTGTTTTAGTTATGAAGGGGTGCCCACTACCCATCCCCCCTAGGAAAAGGAGTTTAATTTGGGACTTTTTCGTCAAAAAGGACTCTGTTGCAGAATGCAACACGTGTAAAAAGTCCTTAAAAGTACCGGTAGGTTAAAAGTTAATCCTAATTATACATTTATGTAACTTAATAAACTCATTCTAAAAATGCCTAAGTTTAAGTTAGCCTACATTTAGGCTAAAAGGGGCTTTATTATTTAAATCGAAGATTTAAACTAGGTACTGTAAATGGTTAAAAATAGGGCCTAAGTTCTTGTACCTTCAAACCTAGTTGTCCAGTAGCCTAAGCCCAAGTCATGAGATTAGGCTATGTTAAGTTATGACAACAAGTTTTATTTTAGGCATACCTTTTTAAAGTTTATGTTCTAAGACATAAACTTAAGGTGAGTCGCGACATACCTTCCACCGGTGCCGTGTCTCGTGAATCAGCGTCTGGTCGACCAGTTTATTAAATGTATTTTCGTGTGTGTCATATCCGTATGTGTGTCCCGTTTATTTATTTGTTTATATTTTTGACGAACTCTATATGAGGGATTAGCAAGTCATTCTGGACTTGAAGATGTGCTATTTTTTAAGCACGAAACAGCTGTAGTCATCATACTACTAAACTGATCGTTTTGACAGAAAACAGGTAATTTAAACCTATATTAGTTTATTCAGACGATCTAGAGGCCATTCCATCATGCAACAGTTTTAGTAATTAAGTTATTGAGAGTTGACTTGACATTGATTTCAAGTTTTCATTATTTGAGCAAGTCTATCCATTCGACAATCCACAAGACCGCAGCCTTTAGATCCATGCTGTACCAAGCCTATAAGATCCCACTTAGCCAAGCCAACAGGAAGAAAGAACTGGACACCATTAACAAGATCGCTCAAGTTAATGGATTTTGAACCAAGACAATAGAGGACATCATAAAAAGAAGAGGAGAAAAATCAATAGGCAGAATACACTACACAGCAGAACATTAGAAGAGATAAAAGAGGAAAACACCAGATGTCACATTTAGCTACACGGGGACTACAACACAAAGGACTGCTAACAGATTCAAGAAACACAGAGTTTCAATAGCCTACAGGACTCAGAACACCATGAGTAAAATACTGCATCCAAAAATAGAAGATTGTAAAAAATTCGACGCTTCGGGCATCTATAAAACCAATTGTAACGATTGTGATAGCTTCTATATTGGACAGACTGTGAACTTCGTTAACCGCTTCAAAAACCACATATCTGCGTGGAGGAACAACAAACCAGAAAGATCAAATAAATGTTGCACAACACCTGTTACAAAATGGCCACTCAATAGGAAAAATGTAGGATAGTCTATGTATTTTAAGGAATTGTAAGAAAGGATATGTAATAAATGCTTGGGAAGAATTGTATATTCATAAGGAAAAATGTAAAAATTGAAATATGTTGATTAATGAACAAGTAAATTTTGATTCCAGTTGTACTTATAAAAATGTATTGGCCGGTGCTTCCGGTAGGCAATAGGATATAAGTAGGGACGCCATTCAAGATTCTTGTCATTCGCCTATTGGGTCTGATGATGATTGGAGTGTCCAATCGAAATCGACCACCACTTAGCACCTTTTTTGTATATTTAGGGGCGGTTCACGAGCTCGGGACTTCATAGTCCGCGACCAGACGTTGGTCCCGGACTATATAAGCGACGACCAAAAAATGGGTTCACGAGTCAGAGCCTAATGATGTGAAAGCCATTGTAGGTGGAGACCAAATCTGTAGCAGAGCCTAATGACAGGGATTCACAGGGAATTTCTGTTGAGACGTTGGTATCAACCAGTAACAACACTCTGGAAAGACATGTGAAGCCACTGCTGTTGACATACACACTTCCATGCAATAGGATTATCCTGAAAAAGGGCTGAACCAAAACGTCCAAAACGATTATTTTTCTTATATTTCATTGTCCCAATACTCGCCTATGATAATCTATCTAAGTTTATTGATTTATAAACACAACAATCCACATTTTTATGGAATCAGATAATGGAAGTCTTTAGTGTAATATATTTTTCTGTGTGCATTATTATAATTCAATTAACCCTTTCAGTGCTAGGCCAATAACTCATATTTTGTAAGACTTTTTTGTTTGCCTTTTAATTCCATTACCCGTTATTGAATTTTAACTGTCATGTTGTCACTATTTTATTAATTAGGCTAATTTTGAATAATAAGACAATAAGAAGATATATAAGAAAGATAAATCCCGGTATTTGTAGTAAACACCAAATAAAACTTAGTTTTTGTTGTAATTTTCCTGGTTTTCCTATAAATTTTTATGTTCTGATAGCATTATTTGAAACCGAAATCTCAAAAAATCAAAAGACATATAGTTTACAATGTAATATTGAATTTAACCCTGATTTAGTTGGACGAGGTTATTGTAATATAGCAATTTTAGGGAAACTAATGTTTTGCAGCAAAGTCTCAGGAACACATTTTCTACTACTAAAACTAAAAGATTGCATCTAAATAGTCCGTGACTAGCTGGTGCTGCTACCTAGTAACGCATTGAACAACCATCTGCAGCGCCATCTGTTCGCAATCGGTGGCGACAGCTTAAATACCGGGTTTTGACTCCCCAGTCTTCAAGCACAGATAGCCGAGAAGGCTAGGGCGTGTGTCACTTGGCCAGTGGCATTCGTCTGCTCGGGTTCGAATCCCGTCCTGTGTGGCAAATAATTGGTGACCTGTGTGTTTGTAGCGATATACTACAACCACTGGGGCATAGTGAGGTGTTCATAATCCTTGGTTAAGACATACACCTCGAAATCACCGGATTGGGCGAATCTTTTAGCTAAGTGGTTGGTAGTGTATCCTATGAACATGCAGGTCACCAATGGCCGTTTTGTAATTTTTTTTTTAATAACCTTCCTCTCTATATCCCTTAGGGTTTTTTTAAAACAACGATATATCGTTTCATAGCACTGAAAGGGTTAAGATGCATGACATAAAATAACCGGGTATTTATAACCGGATGAATGCCTATTTTGCATAAATGCCCGATAATTTAGGATGGTGATATTTGGATAGGATAATTTTAACTAAACTTATTTTAATGGTACAATTATAGGCCTGCCCAAACTGCCGCGGTACACGGTCTGCGGTACGGGTATTTTACCGCCTCGACAGATGCACTGCTAGCTGTATGGTAGGGTGCCCACACTGACGCGGTAAACGGTAAGCGGTGTACTGGGCGTTACTCTTTGCAATTGAGTGCTAGGTGTGTTGTGTTTCTTGGACATGTAAGATGTATTCGTCTTCAGACGAGGAAGAAATATTGTTAAAGATACTAGTTACTAGTTAAAGATGGGCTATTAGGTGAAGATACATAAAACACTGCAACACGCAGAAATTATAATATATATTTATTATTTAATCAAGTACATTTTCAGTTTTCATATGGGACAAGTGATATGCAAAATGAATAACTGACAGTACCATACAAAGTAATATTTTCTAATGAAAAGTTAAACGTCAATACTCTACAAATACTTATCACGCAATCCTTATCCTTATATATAATACGTGAAGGTTTCTACGAAACACTACTCCTCCGATTATAATGGACGGATTTTTACAAACGACGTGTCAAAATAAAGTATTTTTTGTGTAGACGCCCACTTTCAACAATTCCTGTAATAAAAATCCTCGGGCTTTGCCACACAGGCCATCAAAGTTGGATTTTCTCCCATAAGATTAACATGGGGAAATTAAATATTTAATTGGAAACTTTGTCCCCACTAATTTGAGAGAACGGCTGGGCGTAGAAACTTGGTAGAGGTGTCCAAAGAAAGGTCTTGGTCTGTAGATGAGTTATCAAAAGAAAAACTAAGCAAAATCCCTTAGGGCTCTGCCCCAGAAGCCTTTAAAGATCCCTCCACAGAGTTGTTTACGTTTTGGCGTATGTGAATAATACTTTTTTAAAAAAATAGCTGTTCATTTTTAAATTGTATTTCAAACAACACATATTTATTGGGAGTCACTGAATTCTACCAAATAATTATTTGCAATGTTATTTTTTTATTTTAAAATTGATTTTCCTCTTTATCATGTCATGTTTTGCAATATAACGTTCCATTATGAAATCAGTGGAAAATCCTTTTATCACAGCAATTTTAAAATTATTTATTATGGAACTATCTTATTTGTATTGTACGGGTTAGTTTCTGCCTTTTTCACCACTTTTGCCTACATTTTATCATATTATTCTACACATATCAAATATTTTTGTTGAAATATCTGCTCTTATCGTGTCTAATAAATCCAAACATAGAAACCTTGTTATACGTGAAGACGATTTCTACGAAACACTACTTCTCTGTTAATAATGGACGGATTCTTACAATCGATATGTCAAAATGAAGTATTGTTTGAGAAGATGCCCCCTTTCACCAATTCCTGTAGTAAAAGTCGTCGGGCTTTGCCCCACAGGCCATCAAAATCCCAATGTATTTCTTATGGATAACAGGTTTTGTTTACTTAACAGACGAATAATTTGTATTATTTACAGCTGTTCATAGTAAACACGTCATGATACACAAGAGAGCGTTCATTTTCAGTTTCGATAACTGGAGTGGAGTGATTGATTACATTATCTTTGAGTCAAGAATCAAGAATCAAGAATCAAGAATTTATTACAACAAATTACAAAAAAACATTTTGTATAGTTGAGGTCAATATGAAATGTCCAGTGGTTAGCATTAGGGCCTATAACATTCAATAACTAGGCTACTTTAAATAATTTAAATAACAAAGTAAGTTAC